CCGAATCAGCGTTCTGCCGCTGCTGCTCGAAAGTAAGCGTTTTGCTTGCTGCCGTCGATGCGTCAGACTTGCTTTTGACCAGTTGCCCTACTGCCCAGCTAGGAAACGTAGTCTGCCACGCAGTTGGTTTTGGAGTCGAGTGCCCCCATCCTCCCAACCATATACTGCAGGTAGAGGCTCCGATCGTTTTGCTCGCAGCTTTTATGTTCGACATGTGATAGAATAGGCTGCCCTGCGGCTGCTCCACCGTTGTGTACACGGACCTCATGCTCGCGTAGAATAGCATGTAGGACCTGCGTGGTTTTTTAGGGGGTGGGAAGTGGCCAAATGACCGGCTAGGTTCTTCGGCGTCCAGGCGCCCAGAAACCATCCAGATTTCGCTAAACCGTCTGAGCCCCCGAGGGCTCATCGACGGCTCACCGAAAACAGTGAGCCCCAGTGAGCCCCCAGTGAGCCCGAATTGCTCTGGGATTTCGTTCGTGGCCATGGGAAAGCGAGCATTGTGGGCAGGAGTTGAGAGGAAAGGGGTATATAGGGGCATGTGGCAGCTGGAGAAGAGGGGGATGGGGCGCGCGAGGAGGACGAGGAGAAGGAGCAGGACGAGGAGGAGGAGCACGAACACAAGGGAGCGGAGGAGGAGCAAGAGGAGGAGGGACGGAGGAGGGGGGATGAGGAGGATGATTTCTGTATTTCCCCAGTGCGACACCGCTGCAGCAATAAAATTGGCCTCCCGAACATCACGGCGGCTGTCGTCGCCAGTGGGGTCAGCAGTACTGCGCTTGGTGTGAAAACTTGCCCCCCTCCACCACGTCGAGCACTGCGGCGCGAAATGCGCCGACCCCCCTTCTGCGACGGTCGCGATGAGGTACATCGCGTAGAGAATCCCCACCTGCAGGAGCACTCAAGACACCCCAAGATCAAAATGCCCCCAGCAGAACCACGACACAACACTCAAACCAACACGAGCACCAAAGCTACATCAATCACACGGTTTGAATTCCTGGCCACCAGAGAGCACAAATCTTCGGTCGGCGAATTCTCCCTTTCGAAGGTGTAGGCATTGAATCCAAGCTGTGCCACGCGCCTGGCTGCTCCACCTGCGCCTGCGAATAATTCAACAAAGGCTGTGTCCCTCGGCACGTCACCCATGCCAATGATTTCGCCCACAACCGCAGAAAGAAACGCTTGGCCATTGCCATTCTCAAACGAGTATTTGATCCCGCGGGCAGTCATATCCGCGGCCTTTGCCGTTGCCCAAGCCATGCCTTTCCGATGCTGCGGCAAACTGGCCGAGACAGGCGTCGGAGCGAATATGATCACAGCGATCAGGACAGCAGCACGAGCCATTGCTTGGAGACAAGATACTTGCAAATACCGAGGCGCTCCTGTAGATCAAAAAGGCTGAACGCCCGAACCTCGAATCTGGATGGATGAGCGAATACCATGACGTCCCGTAGAAGTGCATTGAGGGTCTCGTCGATGAAGCAGTTGTGCTGCTTCGGGCTCCCATGGGGCCCAACCCTGTCACGGGGAGCTTGTTTGTTTCATTTATTGTTGAAACCGTTCGGCCACCTCACTCCGATTCCGTATGTTGTTACGTATGTTCTTGTTTACATTATTTGGAACATGCTGTTTTGTTATTGGGGGGTACGTACACGCTGTTTTCCGAGAATGTTTGGATGTTGAACTTTCATCGTTTATTAGCTACCCTTCTGAACTTGCATTTTTTCAAGCACCGAACGCTTAAAGCTGTTTCACACACGTACCATGGTACCTGTCCACCAAGTGGAGGACAAGATGGTGCTTCGGAGTGAAGGCGATGCCGCACGCGAGGCAACTCCTGAGGTGGACCAACGTGCACGTCATGAGCTCCACTCGTGCTGGCCCTGGCAAAAGAACGGGATGCAAGCGCACAATGTCCAAGAACCGCTGCAACGATTCCCCTCCGTGCAGTAGAGCGGACCCGAAAACAGCGCTGCCTCCATTCACGTTCAGGGCGTGCACTGCAAATGGCAACATGTAGCCAACCTCCGCCGCCTTCAAACTCATGTGCCCACCGCTGTGATTCGGCTGCTGATGGCAATTTATACAATATCTCCTGTGTTATGGGGAAGGTTTGTGGGCCACCGCTGGAAAGACATCAATCGAGCGCCCCCTCCCCCCTGACGCACTATCATTTCTGGAATGCTGGCGCGGCCATGTTACAAACGCAAACATCATTGCACCCCTACTAACTCATCGTGCGCCCTGGCTACCTTGACCCCTCCCCGTGTACCCCAGTGCGGTGATCGTGCATATGTTGGCACAAAGAAAAAAGCGCTGTCCTGCAATGTGAAACCTTTACGCTTCCCTAGCATCTTGAGGTTGAGCGTTGTGAGCCTGATCTGGTGGGGCACGTCGTGTTGGTCTTGCCAAACAAGTAGGTCGGCTAAAATCCGCTTGCAACCAAGGTCCAAAACTTCCTCAAGCCCCCCACTAAAGCCGAACGGATTCACAAGGATCAACCTCCATATAGCTGCGCTCACCCACCTCATGATTGGCCCGTAATACAGGCAATGCAAAGAGTCTATGGCGAGGCTTGCCGTCGGCGACGTCCCTAGAGCTCGCGAAAACAACGGGCAACGATGCCGCATTGCATCCATGACTTTGTTGTCACTGCTCATGGAAGGACGCCAAAATACAATCTCGAATGGCAACGTCTGCTTCTCAAGATTAAACGTGTCCCACAAGTGAACTGACGGCTCTAAGCGATCACGCTTTTTCAAGGCAACTCCGTTTATGATGATGTCTGTCACGATAATTCGGCCGTTGATGCCCTTGCCTTTTTCAAAACGAATTGATTTCAGCAGATCTGCTCTGTGCTGTTCTGTTCTGATGTGGACACGCACCTCACACCTTGCGCACTCATCGAAATAATCTGCTTCTCTTCTTATCCTGAATGGCAGTGGTTCGTTGGGGACGCACGCACCATACATGCAGTGCATCTCGTCCTGGCTTGCCTCACAGAACTGGCACGCATTAAACACTGCCGACCATGGGGCTAAACCAAGGGACTTGGCATGTTCACTCCAGTCTCCTTTGATCCACAACAGTGCTCCTGTATACGAAAAGGCTTTCGGGCGAGCGAGCTCGTGATCGGCACCCCACGGCCTGCCATCCGATTGAGTAGCTGGCCTGCGCCCTAATGACATTGCTTCGAACTGCCATGCCGCGGTCTGGAGATGCGGAAACAGCGTGCACCATCCTTTGCACCCGCACTGACAGCTATCGCTGGACCTAGTGATTGACATAAAGTGCCTCTTTCCCGTGATCAAATTTATGGCCCACATGCCCAAGCTTGAATCATTCCTCCCAGACGCAGATTTTCTATAAGTCACTCCATCGAGGTAAAATGCGAGAGGCACTGGAAGGCGGTCTCCGTTCGCAAGGGCCTCTATGACACGGGGATGTTTCTTGTAGCACTCAAAATCTAAAACACAGGGGTCTCTGTCGCCAGGCGCTGCGTTCAGAATCCTGAAGGTGCGCGGGTCTTCGGAGACTTCCTCCTCGATCCCTTCGAAAACACAGCGCACAGGAACATCGCGTATCGTCCGCCGAGGTCTGCGATGTAGGTTGACTGGCGTGCGAACCATCGTCATGCCACTGGGGGCTGGTAGTACTTTCGATAAATGGTCCTGGTATTTGCCTGATTGTTTCCCTGGAGCAAGTCCGTAAAGAGCGAAGTTGGCCCCTGGGACGCCAGCAACGTCGGCTAGATGACAAATTACGGAAAAGTCGAGAGCCGTAAGTTTGCACGAGGCGTAGAGTTCAAGTAGCTTTCGTAGTAGCTCGGAGCCCGCATCCCTGGCAGTCTGTGAAGACAAAATGCGCGGCGCCCCCCGCCTGTGGCTGCGAGACCTCGTCATCTGGTTAACAAATCAAACTGTAGATCTGTAGGTGGCTGTGCACAGACAGTAGGAACTTGAGCATGCGCCTCCGAGAAGTGATAACGCAGGCTATGTATAAGGTGTGTCTGCTGTTTGACATGCTGTGTAATGTGTGTATGTGCTGTTCGACATGCTGTGTTAGCGTGCTGTGCGCTTGCTGTTCTGTTTGTTGTTTATCATTCTTCGTGCTGTGTACACCCCTATCCATGATCGCGTTTCGTGCTGTGCGTACGCCCTTCGTGCTGCATGATGTTTTGCTTCGTTGTCTCTTCCTTGTCTGCAGCCAGCAACCTAGACCCCAACAGCGCTGCGCTACCGACTCGTGTATTGCACTACAAGTCTGACTCACGCAATCACCACTGCAACCGAACGTGAAACTTCTGCAGAGAGGAACTGCAGCTATCTCATCAAAGTGCCAGTTGCTTGCATTCAAAATGACTGGCCTTCACTGACGGAAGCACTGATTGCAGCAGCTGCTGTAGCGCTCAACCCCGACTGTTGTCTGTTGGCGTTGAGAGATAACGAGCACAAGCTCCCCTGCTGGCCCGCGGCCTCTCGACGCAACAGAACAGTCTGAACCCTCGAACAAAGACCCTAAACTTCATTTTTTTTTTTTTTTTTTTTTGATTTTTTTTTGTTTTTTTCATTTTTTTTTCGCAAAAATCATCGCTCACCGGTCGCTCACCGGTCGCTCACCGGTCGCTCACCGGTCGCTCACCGGTCATCGGTCGCTCATCGGTCGCTCATCGGTTGTGATCACTGCCCTTTCGCCTGTGTTTTTACAGGGTTTGAGCTCGATCATCGGAGGCTCATCGGAACCAGTGAGCACCGCGATGAGTCACCGGCCGATCATCGGTCGCTCACCGGTCTGCGTTGTGGTTTTCTAATGAGCGCTACAGCATTTCTAGCAAAATAACGTCGGCTGATTGCTCTGGCGCGCAAAATCTTTGAACACTCATCCTCCTGGCCTGTCATCCTCCTGCTCTGCCTTCATACGCAATAATTTCGACAGCCGAGCAAACAAAAAGTACCTAGCAACAGGTTGCACGCATGAGTATGCACCCGCTCGAATCATCAGGCGGCCCTCTTGGGCTTTTTGATCTCGTGGAGGCTCTTGACCTTAATGGTGAGCTCCTGAAGGTTTTTGTCAATCTGGTCGACCTCCTTCAGCTTGTGGAGGTAACTGATGAACTCCGAATCCGAACAAGTTTTCCTCACACTCGTCAGGGTCTCAGTCAAGGCTTTGCTGACTCCTGAGGTCCACACCTTGTGGCCCACCTCCGTGAGCTGCTCCAGAAACAACTTGCCGTCCTCGTCAGTCTTCGCCCAGGAGTAATCAGGATCATTCTCGATGTTGTACGCCAAGGTCTGGGCATGGCTGACCACGGTGTTGTGCAGCAGCACGGTCTGCTTTGCCTGCGTCATGAGGGCCTTGATACAGTCGCCGCCAGGGGACTCGGTTTTCTGCTCCTTAGGGTTGCCTTCGGTGGTCTCCTGCTTTCGTTTCTTGCCCTGCTTCTTGCCCTTGCCCTCTCCCTTGCTCTTCTTTTTGCCCGTCTCAGTGCCCGTCTCCTCAGTGCGCTCCGCGCCTGGAACGTCCTCGCCGCCTGTCTCCTGGATCTCGGCCTTCGAGGTCACGCCAGCAGAGTCCGCGACCTTACCGATGAGGATCCTCGTCTTGTCCTGGTTGCTGGGCTCGCCCGTCGCCAGTGCCTGGGGGGCGACCGTCGCTGGTGCCTGGGGGGCGACCGTCACCAGCGCCTGGGGGGCGACCGTCGCCAGCGCCTGGGTCGAGTCGGCCAGCTGGCCCGCCCCCTGGAGGCTGAAAACCAAACAACAGATAACGTTTTATAAGTATGTCTGCACATATGTCATGCACATGCATCCATATGTGCATGCGTGTGTTTACGACTGTGTTTTCACATCCGCTACACCCACCTATAGCCCGCATGCGGGCTGGGGAGCGATTTTTTTTTGCGAGCAATTCTCGCCGCAGAGTTCCTAAGCAGAACATCGGAAAGCTGACTGCAGCCCCGAAACAAAACAGGATTTCCAATCCTAAGGCAGGTTGCTCCATGCGTTTTGCAAATGATGTTCATTTACCGAATGCCTGCTCCAAGCGCCTTCTCTTCATCTCGTTGCTTTCGATCGCGTCGTCCGCCCATGCCTGGTGCTTGGACCACGCGACGCTGAACTCGCTGTCCACTCCCTCCTCCACATACAAAGCGCGGAGCGCCTCGCGAGACGGGCAGTGCACAACCCAAGGCGCCCCCAACTGAATGGCCTTCAAGAAGTACCGAAATGCCTGAAGGGGCTGCAAACGCAACATCAGGCGGTGGGAGTCCACCTGACCCCCCTCAGGAGGAATGATGGAGGACGGAGCTGGAGGAGGGGATGAAGGAAGAGGAGAGGGCGGAGGAGGGAGGAGGAGGAGGCAGGATGCGGAGGATAAGGAGGAGAGGCGAAGAGAATGCGAAGGAGGATTCGGAGGAGGTGGAGGAGGAGGGGAGGAGGATAATGAGGGCACTGAGGGCACTGGGGGTAGGGGTGTGTTTGTTTGCCTCTCGGCGTCGTCTTTGCCGTCGTCGTCTTCGTCGTCATCGCAGTCGTCATCGCTGAAAGTGACGTCTCCGTCGAACGTCGTTTGCGGGGCATCGACCATCGTCGTCCGTCGTCGTCGTATTCGTCGCCGTCGTCGTTCTGGAGCCCCCGCGCCTGCAACCAGCCCAATCGTCCTCCGCCCTCCTTCTTGGCGGTGCGGCCGAGTGTCTGATATTGGCCTTTGCGCCAATGTGTTCGTTTGTATGTCGTAACTTTCCTCATCTCCAACTTGTAGTTCTCGAACTTTTTCATCGCCCACTCCCTCCTGAAGTCTTCCTGGGCTTGGATGTTGGGTCTCCCGTCGATCCTGAGCGCTTCGTAAGCCTTCTTACAGTCTGGGTGACTGCTCTTGTAGCGATCGAACCTGCCCGCCAGGACATTGCCCTCCTTGCCGTTCGCCGCGGACCTGAAGTCCTTGGCCCTCGCTGCCTGCCATACAGCGTACTCCTTCTTCTGCTTCTCCTCGAGGCTCGCAGGGTCGATGCCGTCCTCGTCAGGGCCCTGAACTTCGCCAAACGCGTTCTCTGCACCCGCTACTGCCTCGGGAAGCATGCTTTGAGGCGTTATGCCCTTCATGCTGTGCAGCTCTTTGACGTGCTTGCCCTGGAAGATGGCCATAAGATGGTCGTGCAGCTCGACGTCCAGGAGCTCGGGCTTCTCTGCCTTCTTGAGGATGTTCTGGAAGTTCACCTCGGAGCTCAGGATGACGTCGGTGAGCATGCGGCGGCGCTTGCTCTTCGGCGGTGTCTCCAAGTGTGCCTAGCGCAGGATTGAAGCTCACTGGGGCTCACCGTTCGCGATGAGCTCGCGATGGGCCCCAGTGAGCCCCCGTAGGCTCCAATGCGTTTCCTCGCAAGAGGAGACGACTGGAGCTCAATGCACAAGAAAGCAGTTGGCGGTCGTTTGTCGTTTGGCTACCCCAGCCTGCGCGGCCGCGCCTCCTGCAGGAGCCAGCACTGTCGGCACAGGCTGCGCTGTCGGCACAGGCAGCGCTGTCGGCACAGGCTGCGCTGCCGAGGCAGGCTGCGCTGTCGGCACAGGCATCTCTGTCGGCACAGGCTGACCGCTAGCCGCTTGCTGGTCCTGCCAAGTGCTCGCCTTGCCTGGCGAGTTCGGGGCCCTCTCGGGACTGACGCTGATGCCACGTCGCTGGGCCTCCTCCCTCGATCTCTGCATCGCCTCCTCCAACTGCTGGTTGTCCTCGTCCTCCTTTTCCTTGGCAATGCGGGCGGCCTCCTCCGACTCCTTCAGCGCCTGCGTCATCTCCTCGTCTCCATCCCCATTGCTGGGCAGTGACTCCTCGACGTCGATGACATGCCCCTGCTCTGGTTGCTGCCCTCCATCTGGTTGCTGCCTCTGCTCTGGTTGCTCCTCGGTCGGCACTGGTGGATGCGCATGCGGGTTGATCTTGAGTGCCTTGGCCGCCTCGGCCGCCCTGAGCTTCAGATTGAGCATCTTGTTCTGCTCCGCCTGCTCGAACACCTGGTCCTGTAGCGACTTGATCAGCGACATCAGCGATGGCGGGACGTTCGCTGCCTCCGCTGGGGGCAGCATCTCCTGGGACGGCCCTGCGATGGCGCCAGGCGGTGCCTCGCCAGCGGGGGGCGGCGCCTCACAGGCGGAGGGCGGTGCCGCCGCCGCTGGCGCCGCAACTTGGGCCCCGACTGGCGCATCAGCCTGGCTCGCGTGGTTCGGCTGCTCTGCTGGGATGTCGTGCGGCGACTCCTCATCTGCGACTGTTTGCGTGCCTGCCTGAGACGGCGAGCGCCATCCTGGCTCGCCGTAGTTGGGCTGCCGATCAGGCTGCGTGTCTCCTCCGTCTGACCCTGCAGCTGGCACAATCTCCACGTCCAGATCCTCGTCCCACGTGGCCCACGTATCACTGGTCTGCAAGCGCGCGCCCTCGGCGGCGCCCTGGGCGGTGCCCTGAGCGGCGCCGTCGGACATGGGCGAGACGTGGCCCCGAGCGGATCAGTGGCAGACTGATGCAGTTCCACCTCAAGTCATTAAGATTGTTGAGCCAAAACGGTTCGGACGGAATGCATGGATGTCGGGCTCGACAAGCCCCCAAGGTGCCCCCAAGAGACCCCTACACTGTGCCCCGAGGCCCCCAAGAGCGTTTCGACCAGATCCCAGCGTGGAAGATTGCAAACCATGCATAGGAGGAGGGGGAGGAGGAGCAGAAGGATGAAGGGGAGGAGGAGGGATGAGGGGAGGGGAGGGTGAGTGGACGGGGTGTGGAGGAGGGGAGGACAATGTGGAGGAGTGATGTTTGTTTGACCCGTAACGTATTTGGCAAACGTAAGACCCCGCAGTCAGCAGTTTTTGTTTATCACAAGCCCCATTGATTGCACGTGCACTGTGTATGACTTCGACATTTCGATATGGCCATATTGATGGCCTCTTGGGCCGTCGGAAGGCCGAAAAGGAGGATACCCCAACATCCCTAGAACACCTACGTGACATCAATGATGTTTGGCCTCGGCGGGCCTTCCTGAAAGTCCTCTTAATTGGAGGCGTCTTGGGCTTTGTATTTGACCTAAGCCCCGCAGTTGCAGATATTATGCCGTGCTCCACTCAGTTTGACTTCAAGTGTTTCAGACAACGCGGTTAGAACGTCGTTGCCACCAGACAATACTGAAGCTCCGCTCGTGCGGTACCCTCGCACAAATCAGCGTACATTCACTGGAAATACCAGAAAAACTATGCGTGGCCCCATGGCCTCAGACAGCTGGCGGCGATAAAAAATCTGCTGAAGAACCTTGCACTGGTTGCATGAAGTTGGAACTTGGCACGAAATACAGCTAGCACGAACCCTTGTGCTTGACCTGAAACTCGACCTGGGATGTTCAGCCAACTTCATCTAGGCTCTTCAACAGAAGATTGCAAAATACGGCACGAAGACTGGCACAAAAATTGCCAGCATCAGAAGTCGTCATCAATCGGCGACATCGGCGGCACCACGGGCGCAGGCGGCACCACGGGCGCAGGCGGCACCGCGGGCGCAGGCGGCACCACGAGCGCAGACGCAGGCGGCGGTGAACGCTTGGCCAGCGGCTCGGGAGTCACCGCGCCCTTGCGCGGTGACATTGAAAGCAAGGCCTTGGTTGCCGCAGGCTCAAGCTTGGGATCAGGCGAAGGCTTGCACACCTTCGCCTTCTTCGAAACAGACTCTGAATCCGAGGCGGCGCTGCTCACTTGGCCACTCTCTGAATCAGCGTCATCCTTCTTCTCATTCGGATCCGTGTCGGCGTCCTCGGGCTCGGCAGCCGCTGGTCGCTTGTCGGCCGCCGCCGCGGGTCTCTTCATCCTCGCCGTCTTCTTGTCAGTAGCCAGAAACTCTCGCTTCATGTCCTCGCACTGGGTTTTGTCCTTCTCGCCAGCAGCGAACGCCTTGCAGCGCTGAATCACAAATTGTTTGGCACCCTCCTCGTTTGTATACCCCATCATCTGCATGAACTGCTTGCTCTCGTACCAGATCTGCAGCCACGACTTGCCAGTCTTGATGACCCAGCGCCCCAACACCTCGTTGCCCGTCTCGTGGTGGGTGCCGCGCCAGAAGACGTTGTTCCCCTTGGTGTGCTTGGGCGCACCGTCTGGCCTGTCGGTGTCATTCGCCGACGTGCCAGGCACCTACAGGGCAACTGAAAGCTATTATAGAGGATGATGGGAGGCACGGAATGGATGGAGGGAGAATGATGCGCAGGAGAGAGACGGAGGATGGAGGAGCACGCACCGGAGTTGGCGGTGGGAGGAGGACGCACAGGAAGCACGGAGTGGACGGAGGGAGGAGGAGGGGGAGGAGGAGGAGGAGGGAGGAGGAGGGACATTTAATTAATCCAGAGATGAGGAGGAGGAGGGAGGAGGAGGCACCTCCCACTCAAACTTGTCGGCCCAGACGGCAACGAGCATCTTGCTGCCCTCGCGAGGGCGAGCCACTGCGTACTCTGGGAACTGGCTGGCGTTGATGGGGATGCGCCAAGCGGACTGGGGGCCCAAAGCGTGGAGAGGTCAAGAGGCTGGCTCATCCTCCTCCCCCCGAGGAGGGGGAGGAGCATTAGGAGGAGGAGGGTGAGAAGGAGGAGGAGGAGGAGGAGGAGGAGGAGGAGAAGGAGGAGTAGGAGGAGGACGACGATAGCGAGGCCGACGTCCAGAGGAGGAAGCCGACGAGGGGTTCGAGGATAAGGAGCCACCACCCTCCACTTCTTCCTTCTCCTCCCCATCCTCCCTCTCCACTCCTCCTCGTTCTCCTGCTTCGACGATGGGCTGACCTGCATTTCTTTCTCGTAGCCCAGTCTATAGCCGCGCTCCGTGACCATCTCCTCGTTCGTGAAGGTCGAGGCCTGGTCTTCGCGCCCCTTTCCGCTCTTCGCTTCCCTGCGCTTCCCTCCCGACCCCAAACCACCCCCCCGCCCCCCCGTTCCCGCCCCTCCTCCCTTGCCCATCCCGATCACCCAAATACCATTCACTCCACCCCGTTTCTCCCGTGCTCGTTCAGCCCTCCTCCCCATCCTCCTTCCTCCTCGTCCCTCTGCCTCGTCCCTCCTCCCCCCTCTCTTTATCCCATCCTTCCTCCTCATCCTCCTCAGCCGCCTCCCCCTGTCCTGCTCCCCCCTTTTTCTCCTGCTGCTGCTACTGATGCTGCTGCTGCCCCTCCTCCCCCTTATCCTCCTCCTCATCCTCCTCCTCCTCCTCATCGTTCCTCCTCCTCCTCATTCCGCTCCCACCCTGGCCTTGGCCCTGACGAGCTTCTTCGCGCTCTCCGCTGGCTTGCTGTCGTCGACCTCCGCTGGCTTGCTGTCGTCGACCTCCGCTGGCTTGCTGTCGTCGACCTCCGCTGGCTTGCTGTCGTCGTAGGCCGCTGGCTTGCTGCCGTCGCTGGCCGCTGGCTTGCTGTCGTCGCCGGCCGCGGGCTGGAATTTCACGGCCCAAGCAGGGACTTGCTTCCTCTGACGGTGATCAAAATAGTAGGAGGAGGATGAGGAGGACCAGACGGAGGAGGAGGAGGAGGAAGAAGTTTGATGATGAGGACGTTGGGGGGAAGCTCCGAGGAGCAGAGTTCGGATGACGACGTCGAAGAGAGCATGGGCGAGAAGGATGAGGAGGGCGAAGTGAAACCAAGGAGGGCGAGGATGAGAAGGAGAGGGAGAAAGAGGAGGAGGAGGAGGATGACGAGGAGGAGGAGGAGGACGAGGATGACGACGACGACGAAGGAGGAGGAGGATCAGGAGAATGAGAACGAGTCGAGAATGATGCGCAGGAGGAGGAGGGGCTGTGTCCTCGATAAAGCCTTGGCGACGTGCCGCAGCATGGCCCGTATCATGCGTGCGCGGTCGTCAGCCCACGATTTGTTCTCCTTGGAAAGTTTCCATATCTCTTCCTTCGCGTTCGCCACGATAAGCAGCGCCGCCTTGGGGCGGCACGCTATTCCCCTCCTCCCTCTCCTCTCCCCCTCCTCCCCCTAGTCCTCGTCATCTTCCTCATCGTCCTCATCCTCCTCCTCCGCCTCCTCCTCATCATTATCCTCCTCCTCGTCCTCCTCTTCCTCTCCTCCTCCTCCTTTTCCTCCTCCTCCTCCTCCCTTCCACTCCGCGAGTCCCTCCTCCCCCTCCCCTCTCTTCCTCCTTGCCCTTGTCCTCCTCCTTCACCTTCTCGATCCTCCTTCTCCTCCTCCTCCTCCTCCTCCTCTTCCTCCTCCTCCTCCTCCTCCTCCCCCTCCTCCTCCTCCCCCCCCTCCTCGCGATCTCGGCCTTCGCCGTCTTCTGAGGGACGCCACCGACGGGGGCAGCCGCCCTCGTCTCAATGATCAGCTTCTGGAACTTTGACAGCGTGTCCTCGTCGTGCGCGGCGTCAAGGTCGGTCGTGCACGTCAACCTTGGCTATGAAAGGGGAGCGGAGGGACGGTGGAGGAAAAAGGAGGAACACACAGCAATACCACGCGGATGGGACGCAGTCGAGGATAGAGGAGGAGGTTTAGGTAGCACGGATACGGGGCGCAACGAAGAGGAAATGCGCGAAGAGGGAGGCGAATGAGGATGAAAAGGGCGAGGGTGTTGAGGAGGAGCAGGAGCCAGAGGAGGACAGAATCGGAGGCTGTGCCTCCGATCAGAGGCTCCTGCTCCTGCTCCTCTGGCTCATGCTCCTCCTCTGGCTCCTGCTCCTCTGGCTCCTTCCTGCTCCTGCTCCTAAGGCTCCTCCACTGGCTCCTCTGACTCCTCCTCTGGCTCCTCCTCTGGGTCTTAAGGCTCGGGCGTGTCGGGCTCCTCGATGAAGTGCGACCACGCGTGGCTCAGTGTGGTGGCGTCAGCCTCGCTTGGCTGGCGCGCGGCCCCAACCTTGCGCTTGGGCGCCATGAAGCCAAAATGGCTAGGGGAAGGAGCAGGAGCAGCCGCTCGAGAAGGGAGAGCAGCATAATCTAGAGCTGGGATGTGAGGAACAAAAATCAACTATTGAGTAATAAGCAGCGAGGGTGCCAACGCCTCCTCCTCCTTCTCCCCCTCCCCCTCATCCATCATCATCATCATCATCATCATCATCATCATACTGCCTTTTGGGCGTTTTTGTTTTCATCATCTGGTTTACATATCTCCATATCATCATCGGCCTTTTTGGCGCTTGTGTGTGGCATTTGTGTATTTGATGCATGTTTATGTGATGATGTATGATGTTGCATGATAGGGGACTAGAAACAAGACCGCGGGACTATAAATAGGAACATACATAAGGGGACTAAAAAACTGTCCTTTTGGACCTCTGGGTATTCGCACGCTCCGAGACAGTTGGTGAGGCCGGAGACATTCGAGCGTTCGGGGTTTGAGCGCTTGGAGCTGCTCCATGGTCTCGGGCCTTCGCCGGGCGCCTCTGCAGGGCCGGCAATCTCTGGGCACCAGGTGGATCCTGTGGCGGACACAGTGGGGCACTTTGTCCTGCGCCTCGCTCTGAGCACGGCGGACGGCCTGCGTGAGTGGTTCGTGTCACGCGAGGTGGTGCTCCTGCAGCTACGATGGGCCACATTACCACAAGTTGAGCGGGATCGAGCCTTGGCTTCGCTGGGCGTCACACTTGGCGAAGACCTCCCTGGCTTGCCCAAGTGCCAGCTGCCGTTCACGCAGGTGCCGCCGCAGTTGCTGGCGGAGCGCCGCGTGGTTCTCAAGCGCGGGGTGGCCCACGTGCCGGCCCACGAGACGTGCGCTCTGGCGTCCTACCTCTTTGATCGGAGCTTGCGGGACTCGATGCAGAAGGGCGCCTTCATGATGCAGAGCGAGCAGCACCGGCTCCAGCTGGAGAGCGTCCGGCCGCTTCTGGACCGGCTGGGGAGACACGCGGACGCCTGCGTCTCTAGGCGCCCGGCGCGCGCGGCCACGGGGCCCGATGACGTTGGATTGTCCCTGACGAATTTTAATCAGATGCTCAGGTCGTTCCCTCCGTGCATGCTGCACATGGTCCTCCATCAGCGCGGGGGGCAGCGCTTGAAGTTCCAGGGTTTGCTGCAGCTGCGGCCCTTCTTGCGCAGGGCAGGACTGGACCTCCCCAGTGCGCTGCGGTGGTGGGAGATGGAACTACGTCGGGACATGCACGTCACCAAGGAGGTGTTCGAGAAAGACCACCGGTACCAGATAGAGCACGCCTATGGAGCTTGTGGACACGGGGGCGGCGCGCATCCGTTCGGTTGCGCGCGCATCCAGGGTTTTCCGGCCCCTCGGGCCGGCCAAGTGCACGGCTGCCCATTTCAGCGCGGTCACGAGGGCCAATACGACCTCGCCGCCTTGCTCGGCCATTGGGGTTTGGAGCCGCAGGGCGTCGACGTAGTAGTCCGCGCGGCGCGAGACGGGCCCCCCTCTCGCGCCTGCGCTGAGTTTTTCCGGGCGACGCATCCGTGGACTGGCTGGGGTCAACACGGTCCCGTCGGCCACCCGAACACGTACCTTCGCAGGAGCATGGCCGCTTTGGCAACTCGCTGTGAGCGCGCCGCTTTTGCGGCTCCTGCCGCGGTCGCGCCCTGATCGGCGCGTTGCCCACGCTCCGTGAACTGTGCGGGGGCGGGGCCAGCCGGGCCACGCATGGCCGCCTGGCATGTGGAAAATAAATGCCCGATGGGGGGCGGGGGTCCCCCGGGGAGGGGTGTTGTCTGGGGGGTGCCCGGAGGGGGGTCCGCAAGGCTGGGTGGGGGGGGGGGCCCTGCAGGGTGCCCGAGAGGGGGCGGTTGAAAGAGAAGGGTGGGGTCCCCGAGGGGGGGTCGTTGATGGGGGGTCAACGAGGTGGGGTCCTCGAGGGGGGTCCCCGAGGAGGGGTCCCAGAGCGGGGGGTCCCACAGTGGGGGTTGCCTGAAGGGTGGGTCCCTATGGAGGGGTCCCACGCCTTGCCGGGGGGGGGGAGGGGGGTCGGGGGGGGGGGGGCGGCCTCTGGGGCCGCGTTGGTTCGTCGTCGCACCCGTCGCCGTACTGGCGATGTGCCCGTCGCCCTCCTGACACTTGCCCTCAGCTCCCCAAGCCGTCGGGTCGCTGCGTGTCGATACCAGCGCGGGTTGCCTGTCGGCGCGTTGCCCTCCGTCAGGCGTTTGGGCTTCAAACCGGGTCTCACAGAGCCGCGCGCCTGGGCCAGCCGGGAGGCCTCCGCTTCTTCTGCCGCGATGGCGCAAGGCAGCGCCGCCCTGACGGCCATGGAGAAGGCCGCCGGGTGGGTGGGCCGGTCCTTCGCGCCGCGCACCATGCTGGGGGCGAATCTGGCGCAGAAGGTCGGCGTCGACGCGTTGATCGCTTGCATCCACGAACTCCCCCACTTGCTCGGGGCGATGTCCACGGCACTGCACGCCATGAACGGGGCCCTCATCCGCTTGCGAGAGAGGCCCATTACATCGTCGTTTGGCGTCATCTTCGTCCAGTACGCCAAGACCAACAACAGCGGGCTCAATGCAGAGGTGGACGACGCCTGCACCGAGCACGAGCTGCTGGTGAACGACTCCGTGCTCCGGAGGGTCTACAACCGGGAATTGGACGCCGAGGAAGCCGAGTTGATTTACACGTACTTCAAGGGCATCACCCCTGAGGAGTTCACCGCCCAGTGTGACGCCGATCGCTTCGGGCGCCTCTACTTCGGTGTCATGCTGCGGCACGACGAGTGGGCCTCGTGGGGCGAGAGCTTGGGCTTGCTGGGGTCTGCGCACAACGTGAAGAAGAACCAGGCGAACTTTAACATCACCATGGACACGGGCCGCCCGAGCGCCGTGCACCGGGATCCGAGCCTCAACTTCGGCAAGGATCTGCACGCCGCGTTCAGGAGGCGCCAGGAAGAGGGGGCGAAGGTACCTCGGGTAACGGTTCACCACGTCGCGGGATTGAACACGCGAGACGGGGCTCGCCTCTTCGGGAACCAGGACACGCAGCAGACCGCCTTGGCGGTGCGCGAGAGGTACCTGCCATTCACGGCGCCGGTGGTGAATGCGCACGCCATGCCGCCCCCGTGCCTGACGACGCTGCCAGATGAGGCGTACGTGGACGCACAGAGGTCGGCGCTCCGCAAGGACACCGCGGGCTTCGAGCGCGATAGGCTCGTCCGGGTCACGGACAAGGCGGCCGCCATGCGGCTCTGCCTGGCTTTTGTCGTGGCCGCCGGTATGTTGGCCTTGGAGGTGTACTACGGGTTGCTCGTTGCCACGGCCAAGGTGGGCACCGCGGAGATCGGTGCGACCCACGTCCAGCGGGCCGCCTACGTGCTGGCACTGGCCTACGGCTCCATGGCCATTGCTTTCCGCGGGCAGGATCCCGGGGCATTTTTCCCCGCAGAGGGGGGGTCCCAGAGGGGGGGTCAGCGATGGGGGGGTCCCAGAGGGGGGGTCTGCGAGGGGGGGTCTGCGAGGGGGGCCCCAGAGGGGGGGGGTGCGAGGGGGGGTATGCGAGGGGGGGTATGCGAGGGGGGGTCTGTGAGGAGGGTCTGCGAGGGGGGGTCTGCGAGGGGGGGTCTGCGAGGGGGGGTCGGCGAGGGGGGGTCTGTGAGGGGGGTCTGCGAGGGGGGGTCTGCGAGGGGGGGTCTGAGAGGGTGGTCGCCCGAGAGGGGCCTCCCAAGGGCGGTCCGGGCGGGGGGGTCCCCGAGCGGGATTCGGCATTCCATGTTCGCTCCCCTTTTTGGCGTTCCGCGTCCACCTGGGTCGGGCGATGGGGGGCCTCGCCTGCGCAGGGCCCGCAGAGCATGCCGCTTGTTCCGACGGACCCGCCCGAGGAGCTCGACGTCCGCTTGTTCTGCAAGCTGTTCGCCCCGTCGTTCGTGCATTTGCTGGACGACCCCAGCAGTGCCCCGGCGCAGGCCCGGGCGACCGCGGCCCAGCGGTTGGAGGCCGCGATCCTGGGCCTCATGCGGGTCACGCTGCTGTGGCCGGACTGCGCCCGTGTATCCAAAGGCGCCGTCACCCGCTTGCTCCAGCGCGGGGGGGATGTCGCGCCGGCATGGAACGCGCTTCCAGTCGACCAGCCAGCCAGGCGGACCGCGCGGTGGGAGGCCAACGTGGCCCCGCGCCTCACGCAGCTGGGGTTGGGAAGCTGGTCGCAGGGAGGGGAGGGCTACGGCTGCAACAAGCCGAGCGCTGAGGAGCTGGGTGAGGAAGCTGCTCAGGAGGCCCTGCGAACCCACCTGCAGCTCACTCCGGAGCGGGTCGCGGCAACGTTTCCCGTGCGCGGGGGCCCGAGGAGGGGCCGTGAGGACGGCCCATCGGCGGGCGTGCCGGCGTCGCAGCGCCCGCGGCGGGACGCCGGCGCCGACGCCGGGCAGGCCGCGCAGGCCCAGGCCCCGCCGGCCCCCCCGGGTCCACTGGTCGACCCGGATGCGGCGGGCAGTGCCGCGGGGATGTACCAGGTCGAGGCAGGTTGTGCGCCGTGGGCGGCGCCCTGCTGACGCTGCCGCAATTTCCTAGTTTGCGTCGCTTCCCAGCTTTCTTCTCCCCGCTTCCTCCGGAGGGCCCACCGCGGAGTGACGGGGGACGACGGCGGAGGGGAGAGGAAGGCTTGGGCCGGTGTAGCAGGCGGAACGAGGGTGGCGGGCGTAGGATGCGGGAAGGAAGGGGGAGGGGGCGTGGGGATCGGGGAAGCATCCCCTGCTCCCTCCTCGTCTGGGCCCCCGTCCCCGCGTAGCTGTCGCAGGATTGCGATGCTGCCGTCGGGCAGTGTCGGAGGCAATGGGAGCCGTGCCCGCAGCGATCTGCAACAGGCGCGCCCGTGTGTAACTGTCGCAGGGTAAGCGGCGATACCACCGGGGGCGTCGAGAATGTTTTCTCTCCACAGGAATGAATTTGCGATGCAGTCGTACACGGGTGCACGCGCTGTTTTATAGACTCTGTCGGGGCCGTCCCTACCACCCCCACTGCCGGCATGCGCGCCGTTCGCTGGATCTCCTCTCGCACGTGTTCCGCCAGAATGCCAAAAACTGGTGCTGTTCACCCCCGGGGATGGGTCCAGGGACCCACTTGGGCTGGAGTCCTCGTCGTCGTCGACCGTCGTCGTTGGCGCCGTGGTCGCTCTCCGGCCCGGCCGGCCCGCGCGCCGGCTCGGCTCGGCCGGACGAGACGGAGGAGGGAGGGGGAGGAGGGAGGAGGAGGAGGAGGAGGAGGAGGAGGGAAGAGGAGGCAGGAGGAGGAGGGAGGAGGGCGGATGGGGGAGGGATCCGGAAAAAGGAAACGGAGGACCACGAGGAGGAGGAGAAGGAGGAGGGGGAGGAGGAGGGAGGAGGAGGAGGAGGAGGAGGAGGAGGAGGAGGAGGAGGAGGAGGGGGAGGAGGAGGAGGAGGAGGAGGAGGAGGGGGAGGAGGAGGAGGAGGAGGAGGGGGGCCCAAGCCCAGACCTCCTCGAAGACCGAGGGCCGAGCAGGTCTTCGTCGGTCCTCGGCGCCCCCCTCGCGTCGGCGCGCGCTCAGGAAGGCGCGCCCCGCCGGGCGCGCTCCAGGCCCAGACAGTCGTCGTCGTCGTCGTCGTCGTCATCGTCGCCCTCCGCCCCCCCTCCTGCTCCTCCTCCCCCTTCTCCTCCTCTTCCACTCCCACTCCGCCACAAAGTGCATCAATATGCAATCCACCAGCAAAGCAAGCAATGCCTTTAATGTCCCGCCCGCCCGCCCGACCAAAAGAATCGGCTTGTAATCCGCCACAATAGTAATCAACTTGTAACCCGCTGCCACGTGGAATCACTTTGCAATCCGCCACCAAAGCAACCAATGCTTTTAATGTCCCGCCCGCCCGCCCGACCAAAGAAATCAGTTTGCAATCCGCAATGAAAGAGAATCCATTCGCAATTCGCCACGCAAGCAATCATTGCCTTTAATGTCCCGCCCGCCCGCCCGACAAAAGGAATCAATGTGTAATCTGCCACAATAAGAATCAGCGCGCCACCCGCCACACATGCAATCAATGCCTTTAGTGTCCCGCCCGCCCGCCCGACAAGAATAATCAGTTGATAATCCACCACGCAGGGAATCAATATATGTAATCCGCCACCAAGGCAACCAATGCTATTAATGTCCCGCCCGCCCGCCCGACCAAAGGAATCATATTGTAATCCGCAATGAAGGGTTACCCCTAGGGCCTACCCCTAGGGCTACCCTGGGGCTACCCCTGGGGCCCACCCCTAGGGCGACCCTAGGGCTACCCCTTGGGAAGCCGAGGGCCTTGGGTAGGGCCTACCCCTTGGGAAGCCTAGGGCCTTGGATAGGGCCTACCCTTGGGAAGCCTAGGGCCTTGGGTAGGGCCTACCCTTGGGAAGCCTAGGGCCTTGGGTAGGGCCTACCCTTGGGAAGCCTAGGGCCTTGGGTAGGGCCTACCCCTGGGAAGCCTAGGGCCTTGGGTAGGGCCTAGGGTAGCCAAGGCCCCCGGTGATCTATACCCTCGCCCCGTCATCCTCGCCCCCCGTCCTCCGGACCCTTCCTCCCCCTCCTCCCCCTTTAAAATATCCCCCCCACCCCCCCCCCTTTCCTCCTCACATCATCCTCATCTTCCTCCCGCTATCTATTCCTCCCCTCCCCATATTCTC